ATATATATATATATATATACATATATATATATATATATATATATATATATATATATATATATATTATATATATATGTATATATATATATATATATATATATTTATATATATATATATAATATATATATATATATATATATATATATATATATATATATATATATATATATGCCATATATATACTATATATATATATATATATATATATATATATATATATATATATATTATATATATATATATATATATATATATATTTATTTATTTAACGCGCTTTTTTCAGTCCACCATGATGACAGAACTGCTAATTCTGGTAAAGTAGAATTTGTAGGTTCTGGAATAGTTAGTGACGGCGTCCTACATCCAGAATCTGTCATCATAATGTATGGTATGGCTAAAATCAGGGAAGTGAGTGAAGAAATTGTATGTGCAACTTCCCTTGCATGTCTGGCTGACATAGAGGCGGGTTGATGTTTGAGGTTTCTTCGAGGACGCCACCATAATTGAGTGTCGCCTAAAGGAGAAGTACGTTCTTGAGCTTCTATATCTAATACTTCCTCCCAGACTTCATGACCATCAATAAAAGAAGGTTGGAGTAATGTGGAGAACCCATCTGCATTAGCGACATGGCGCCATGAACTGGGTACCTGGAACCATCCTCCTGGAATGACTGACGCAGATGTACTTATTCCCATAGGAGAAAGAGAGATTTCTCTTGGTCGAGAGTGTGTCATCTGATGACTTGAAGGGGACTGTAATTTTGAAGGAGACATTGAATTGTGAGAAGACAGACGGCACCGTTTCTCAGGTAGAGAAGGTGATCTAGATCTGGATTGTTGAGTCGACTTCGATGAATTTGAGGGAGCTGGGTCTAATGCGTTTTCTGGCATTTTACCCAGTGCTCCAATCAGCTGTTTTAGAAGCATCACTATTTGAGGTTTGTAGATTTTTACTTGAAGAGGGTGAGTGTCTTGTATCTAAGTTATTTTCTGACATGGGGGTGAAGATGTTGATGCAGTGCCTGCTGGTCCTCCAAACCATTCTGCCAATTCTGGTGATGACCAACCAAAGTCAGAAATTCGACGTCTAGATGCTGAAGCTGCAGATCTTGAGTATTGGGTCTCTAAATTCCCATTCTCTGTAGTTGACCGTGGGTCTTCAGAGGCTCGTACAACTTCTAACCACCGGGAGCAAGTTGGACACTCATTCGGGTTGAACACTTCTTATATGGCACATGGTGAATGTTGTGGACAATGGATGTGGTCTGTAGTCCTCACTTTTGTTTTACAGCCTTTTGTTCGGCACACTGAAAGTGTTCCAGGTGACGACATCTGTGAAAGAAGAAGGCTGTGTGTAACTGGTCTTCTTAGTTGTCTCATTGTTTATATTTAATATTGTATCTGGATAGCTATTCTATAGGATGAGAAGTGTAAAACTAGCTTCTTGAATCACAAAATAATCTGCTGTTATGGTGACATGGTAGTGCGAGAAGAGCTGCCTCTAGCTGAGGAGCGCGCTAGGAGTATGAGAAGAGCTGTCTCTAGCTCAGGAGTGTGCAAGGAGCGCGAGAGGAGCTACCTCTAGCTCAGGAGCGCGAGAGGAGCTGTCTGTAGCTCGGGGGAGCAAGAGGAGCTGCCTCTAGTCCGGGAGCGCGAGAGGAGCTACCTCTAGCTCGAGAGCGCAAGGAGCGCGAGAAGAGCCGCCTGTAGCTCGGGAACGCCTGAAGAGCGCGAAAGGAGCTGTTTGTAGCTCGGGAGCGCCCGAGGAGCGCGCAAGGAGCGCGCGAGGAGCTGTCTGTAGCTCAAGAGCGCGAGAGGAGCTGTCTGTAGCTCGGGAGTGCGACAGGAGCTTCCTCTAGCTCGGGAGCGCCTGAAGAGCGCGAAAGGAGCTGTTTGTAGCTCGGGAGCGCCCGAGGAGCGCAAAGGAGCGGGCGAAAGAGCTGTCTGTAGCTCGGGAGCGCGACAGGAGCTTCCTCTAGCTCGGGAGCGCCTGAAGAGCGCGAAAGGAGCTGTTTGTAGCTCGGGAGCGCCCGAGGAGCGCGCAAGGAGCGCGAGAGGAGCTGTCTGTAGCTCGGGAGCGCGACAGGAGCTGCCTCTAGCTCGGGAGCGCGACAGGAGCTGCCTCTAGCTCGGGAGCGCGACAGGAGCTTCCTCTAGCTCGGGAGCGCGACAGGAGCTGCCTCTAGCTCGGGAGCGCGACAGGAGCTGCCTCTTAGGCTCGGGAGCGCGCACAGGAGCTGCTCTAGCTCGGGAGCGGAGAGGAGCTGTCTGTAAGCTGCGGGAGCGCGACAGACTGCCTCCTCAAGCGCGACAGGAGCTTCCTCTTCCTTCTAGCTCGGGAGCGCGACAGGAGCTCCTGCCTCTAGCATCGGGAGCGCGACAGGAGCTTCCTCTAGGCTCGGGAGCGCGACAGGAGCTGCTCTAAGCTCGGGAGCGGCGACAGGAGCTGCCTCTAGCTCGGGAGCGCGACAGGAGCTGCCTCTAAGCTCGGGAGCGCGGGAGACTTTCTTCTAGCTAGCTCTCGGGAGCGCGACAGGAGCTACCTCTAGCTCGGGAGCGTGAGAGGAGCTGCCTCTAGCTCGGGAGCGCGACAGGAGCTACTCTAGCTCGGGAGCGCGACAGGGGCTTCTCTAGTAGTTTCTCTAGCTCGGGAGCGCGACAGGAGCTGCTCTAGCCTCGGGAGAGGCGCGACAAGGAAGCTCAGGAGACTGAGCGTGAGAGGAGCTGCCTCCTAGCTCGGAGCGCCGAAACAGGAGCTACTCTAGCTCGGGAGCGCGACAGGGGCTTCCTCTAGCTCGGGAGCGCGACAGGAGTTTCTTCTAGCTCGGGAGCGCGACAGGAGCTGCCTCTAGCTCGGGAGCGCGACAGGAGCTGCCTCTAGCGCGGGAGCGCGACAGGAGCTACCTCTAGCTCGGAGCGTGAAGAGGAGCTGCCTCTAGCTGGGAGCGGCGGACAGGAGCCCCTCTAGGCTCGGGAGCGCGACAGGGGCTTCTCTAGGCTCGGGAGCGCGACAGAGAGTTTCTCTCTGCTCGGGAGCGCGAACAGGAGCTGCCTCTAGCTAGCTCGGGAGCGCGAAAGGAGCTTGCCTCTAGCTTCGGAGCGCGAACCAGGAGGCTGCTCTAGCTCGGAAGCGCTAAACAGAGCTGCCTCTAGGCTGCGGGAGGCGCGACAGGAGCTGCTCTAGCTCGGCGAGCGTGAGAAGGGAGCTGCCTTCTAGCTCGGGAGCGCGACAGGAGCTGCCGCTCTAGCTCGGCTAGCTGCGACAGGGGCTTCCTCTATTCGGGGCGTCGAAGGTAGTTTTTTCTAGCTCGGTGAGCGCGACAGGAGTTGCCTCTAGCTCGGGAGCCGCGACAGGAGCTGGCTCTAGGCTCGGGATGCTGCGACAAGGAGCTGCCTCTAGCTCGGGAGCGCGACAGGAAGGAGCGCGACTAGCGAGCTCTCTAGCTCGGGAGTCGCGACAGAGCTGCCTCTAGTGGGAGGCGCGACAGGAGCTGCTCATCTAGCTCGGCAGCGCGACAGTAGCTGATCTGCTCGGGAGCGCGACAGAGCTGCTCTAGCTCGGTGAGCGCGACAGTTATACTATAGAGTGCCTCTAGCTCGGGAAGCGCGATCAGGAGCTGCTCTACGCTCGGGAGCGCGACAGGCAGCTGCCTCTCTAGCTCGGGATCCGCTGCACAGGCAGCCTCTGCCTTTAGCTCGGTGAGCTGTGAGCTCAATTCCAGGAGACGATCGTTCTCCAGGTAACACGTTCATTGGCAGTCCATGGTCACTTCGATATGCTAGATTGTGGTTCTGCCCATTACTCCAAACCTTCTATTAAATTGATGGTTCAGTGGAAACTCTGGGAGGTAATACTTAAGATATCAGAAGCTTCAAGAACGTACTCTTATCCTGTTTAGAGACGACACTCAATTATTGGTTTGGCGTCCTCAGGAAGAATACCTCAATATAACGGTCCGCTTATGTCGTGTTCTCGACATGCAGGGAAATTCGCAAACAATCTTCTTCACTCACTATCCTGATTTTAGCATACGCATACCATTAATGATGACAAGAATTCTAGATCTAGGACGCGTCAACTTAAACTATTCATACCTACAAATTACTACTTTACGCAGAATTAGCAGTTCTGTCATCATCTGGTGGATGAAAAAGCGGTTAAATATATATATATACTACTATTCATATATATATATATATATATATTATAATTAGAGATATATATATTATATTGTATATATTATAATTATATATATATATAGTTATATATACTATCATATTATCATATGTTTAGTTTATTATAGTAATATCATCTCTGATCTATTAACAATATACGACTATATCCATATATATATCTATATATACTTATAATTTATATATTCTATTATATATATTTATGACATATCAGCTTATAATATTAGTATATATCTATATATGTATAATCTAATACATTATATACTATAACTATATATATAAAACATATATTCACACATATTTCGTACATATATAACGTAATATATATATATATAATTATCAGTAGACACATATACATATTTGTACATATATAATATATATATGTATATATATATATACAGGAGCCTGCCTTCTAGCTCGGAGCACGACAGGAGCTTCCTCTAGCTCGGGAGCGCGACAGGAGCTGCCCTCTAGTTCGGGAGACGGAACAGAGGAGCTACGCTCTAGCTCGGGAGCGCGACGAACTAGCGCGACGGAGCCTCTAGCTCGGGAGCGCGACAGGACTCTTCCCTCTAGTCGGGGCGCGACAGGAGCTGCCTCTAGCTCGGGGCGCGACAGGAGCTTCCTCAGCTCGGGAGCGCGACAGAGCTTCCTCTAGCTCGGGAGCCGACAGGAGCCTCTAGCTCGTGAGCGCCTGAAGAGCGCGAAAGGAGCTGTTTGTAGCTTGGGAGCGCCCGAGGAGCGCGCAAGGAGCGCGAGAGGAGCTGTCTGTAGCTCGGGAGCGCGACAGGAGTTTCCTCTAGCTCGGGAGCGCGACAGGAGTTTCCTCTAGCTCGGGAGCGCGACAGGAGCTGCCTCTAGCTCGGGAGCGGGACAGGAGCTGCCTCTAGCTCGGGTGAGCGACGACAGGAGTTTCTCTAGCTCGGGAGCGCGAAAAGGAGCTTCCTCAGCTCGGGCGCGCGACAGGAGGTGCGCGCTCGGGAGCGGGAGGAGCTCTTCTCTAATCGAGAGCGCGACAGGAGTTTCTTCTGCTGGGACGCCGACGGAGCTTCGCTTAGCTCGGGAGCGGACAGGAACTGCCTCCTAGAGGGAGCGACAGGAGCTTTCTCTAATCGAGAGCGCGACAGGAGTTTCCTTTCTATCTCGGGAGCACGACAGGAGTTTCCTCTAGCTCGGGAGCGCGACAGGAGCTGCTAGCTCGGGATCGACAGGAACCTCTTCCTCTAGCTCGGGACGCGCGACAGGAGCTTCCTCTAGCTCGGCGAAGCGCGACAGGAGCTGACCTTCTAGCTCGGGAGCGCGACAGGAGCTGCTCTAGCTCGGAGCGCGACAGGAGCTACTTCGCTCGGGCGCGACAGGAGCTGCCTCTAGCTCGGGAGCGCGACAGAGCTGTCCTTAGCGCGGGGAGCGCGACAGGAGCTACCTCTAGCTTGGGAGCGCGACAGGAGCTGCCTCTAGCTCGGAGCGCGACAGGAGCTCCTCTAGCTCGGGAGCTCAGAGCGCGACAGGAGCTTGCTCTAGCTCGGGAGCGCGACAGGAGCTGCCTCTAGCTTCGGGAGCGCGACAGGAGCTGCCTCTAGCGCGGGAGCGCGACAGGAGCTGCTCTAGCTCGGGAGCGCGACAGGAGCCTGCTCTAGCTCGGGAGCGCGACAGGAAGCTGCCCTCTGAGCTCGGGAGCGCGACAGGAGCTTCTACTCTAGCTCGGGAGCGCGACAGGAGCTGCCTCTTAGCTCTGGGAGCGCGACAGGAGCTAGCTCTGCTCGGGAGCGCGACAGGAGCTGCCTCTAGCTCGGGAGCGCGACAGAGCTTGCCTCTAGCTCGGGAGCGCGACAGGAGCTGCCTCTAGCCGGAGCGCGACAGGAGCTCGGCTCGGGAGACAGGAGCTCTAGCTCGGGAGCGCGACCAGGAGCTGCTCTAGCTCAGAGCTGCCTCTAGCTCGGGAGCGCGACAGGAGGAGGAGCTGCCTCTAGCTAGCGCGGGAGCGCGACAGGAGCTACCTTAGCTCGGGCGCGGAGGAGCTGCTCTAGCTCGGGAGCCGGACAGGAGCTACCTTCTACGCTCAGGAGGAGCTCGGGAGGCGACAGGAGCTGCCTCTAGCTCGAAGCGCGGACAGGAGCTGCTCTAGCTCGGGAGCGCGAAACAGGAGTTTCTTCTTAGCTTGGGAGTCGGCGACTGCGAGCTGCCCTAGCTCGAGCGCGACGAAGCTGGCCTCTAGCGCGGGAGCGCGACAGGAGCTACATCTAGCTGGGAGGCGTGATGAGGAAGCTGCACTCTTAGCTCGGAGAGCGCGCCAGGGAGCTGCCTCTAGTTCGGCGAGCGCGACAGGGGCTTCCTCTAGCTCGGCAGACGCGACAGGAAAGTTCTCTTCTAGCTGGGAGCGCGCCAGAGCTGCTCTAGCCTCGGGAGCGCGACAGGAGCTGCCTCTAGCTCGGAGCGCGACATGTGTATTCTGTCTAGCTTCTGGGAGCGCGAACAGAGTTTCTTCTAGCGGTCGGGACGCGACAGGAGCTAGCCTATATAAGCTCGGAGAGCCGCGACAGGAGCTGCTCCTAAGCTCGGAGCGGCTGGACAGGACTGCCTCTAGCTCGGGAAGCGCTGGGACAGGAGCTGCGCTCTAGCTCGGGAGCGCGACATGAGAGCTGCCTCTTAGCCTCGGCGAGCGCGACAGGAGCTGCCTCTAGCTCGGGAGGAGACGCGACACGGAGCTGCCTTAGCGCGGGAGGCGACAGGGAGCTACGCCTCTAGCTCGGAGAGCGTGGTCATTCACAGAGATGGTTCCAGGTACATCAGTTCATGGCGCTATGTCACTCATTTCGCAAGATGGGTTCTCCACATTACTTCCAACGATTCCTTATTTGACTGTATGAAATCTGGGAGGTAACGCTATTTTAGATACTATGGTTCAAGAACGTTCTTCCTCCACTTTAGTGCGACTACTCACACATCTATGGTGGCTGCTTCCTGAAGAAACTATACCACTAATTCACCCGCCTTATGTCACCCAGAACAATGCAAGGGAAATATGCACATCACAAATTCTTCTTCACTCACTTCCCTGATTTTACCATACCATTACTATTATGATTGAATATGCCATTCTAGAGTCACGGAACGAGCGTCTAAATAACTCATTCCATGAAAACTACAAACATATACTACTCTTAACCAAGTATTAGCAGTGTCTGTCATCATGGTGGACTGAAAAGCGGGTAAATTATAATATATCATTATATAGTATAATATATATATTATATAATAATATGTGATAATAATCTTTATTATATTATATATATATATATATAATATATTATTTATAATTATATATTATTGTATATTTATATATATTATAGCATATTATATTATATTATATATATAATTATAATATATATTACTTATCATATCATATATTAGTATTATATATGATAATATATATATATATACTATATATTGTATATCTATATATAATATATATTATATATTATATATATATAAATTTATTTATATATAGTAACTATATATAATTAAATATTATACATATTGTCTACATATATACGTTATATTATATAATATAAACATATACATTTGTACATATATATATATATACTGTATATATATTAATATACAAGGAGCCTGCTCTAGCTCGGAGTCACGACAGGAGCTTCCTCTAGTTCGATCGCAGCGACAGGGCTCTCATAGTTCCGGAGCGGCGAAGGAGACTACCTCTAGCTGCGGGAAGCGCGTACCAGGAGCTTTGCCTGCTTAGCTCTACCGGAGCGCGACAGGAGTTTCTTCCTAGTCGGAGAGCGCGAACAGGAGCTTCCTCTGCTCGGGACCTTGCGACGGAGGTCCCTTGCCTCTAGCTCGGGAGTCGCGACGGAGCTCCTCCTCTACTCCGTGGAGTGCGACGGAGTTATACTAGCTCGGGAGCGCGACAGGAGCTGCTCTAGGTCGGGTGAGGCGCCTGAAATCTGAGCGCGAAGGAGCTGTTTGTAGCACTTGGCGAGCGACCGAGAGCGCGCAAGGGGAGCGCGAGAGGAGCTGTCCTGTAGGCTCGGTCGAGCTCGCGACAGTAGCAAAATTGATGAGTTTCTCTAGCTCGGGACGCGACAGGAGTTTTCGTCTCTAGCTCGGGCGGGCGACAGGAGCTCTTAGTCGGGAGCGGGGACAGGAGCGCCTCCTCGCCTCGGGAGCGCGACAGGAGTTTCCTCTAGGCTTCGGGAGCGCGGACAGGACTTCTCTAGCTCGGGAGACGCGACAGGAGGTGCCTCTGCATGGGAGCGGCGACAGGAGCTTTCTCTAATCGAGAGCGCGACAGGAGTTTTCTTCTCTCGGGAGCCGCGACAACGGAGCTGTCCTCTAGCTCGCGGAGAGCGACAGGAACTGCCTCTAGCTCGGGAGCGCGACACGGAGCTTTCTCTACTCGAGAGCGCGCAAGGAGTTTTCTTCTAGCTCGGGAGCGTACAGAACAAGGAGTTTCCTCTAGCTTCGGGAGCGCTGACAGGAGTGCCTCTAGACTCGAGGAACAGCGCGACAGGAGCTTTCCTCTAGCTCGGAGCGCGATAGGAGGCTGCCTCTAGCTCAGGGAAGCGCGAACTCAGGAGTTTTCTTCTGCTGCGGGGAGCGCGACAGAGCTGCCTCTAGCTCGGGAACGCGACAGGACGCTTCCTCTAGCTCCGGGAAGCGCGACAGGAGCTGTCTCTAGCTCGGGAGCGCGCAGCAGGAGCTGCTGCTAGCGCGGGAGCGCGACACAGGAGCCTACCTCTAGCTTGGAGCGCGTTACAGGAGCTGCCCTTCTTAGCTCGGGGGAGCGCGGGACTCCAGGGAGTCCTCTTCTCTACTCGGAGCGGGGACAGGAGTCTGCTCTTCTACACGCGGGAGACAGCGACAGGAGCTACTCTCTAGCTCGTTAGCGCGACGGAGCTGCCTCTAGCTCGGGAGCGCGACAGAGGAGCTGCTTTAGCTCGGAGCTGCGACAGGAGACTTCATCATAGCTCTGGGAGCGCGACAGGAGCTTCTGCTAGCTCGGGAGCGGACAGGAGCCTGCTCTAGACTCTACGGAGCCGCCGTCGACAGGAGCTGCCTCTAGCGCGGAGCGCGGAAGGAGCTGCTCTAGCGCGGGAGCGTTCGACGGAGCTGCTCTAAGATAGGCGAGCGGACAAGGAGCTGCCTCTAGCTCGGGAGCGCAGAACAGGAGCATCTTATAGCTACGGGAAGAGCGAACAGGAGGCTGCCTCTAGCCGCGGAGATGCGCGGACGCGCAGCTACACTCTAGGAATCGGGAGCGGACAGGAGCTGCCTCTAGCACGGGGCCGACAAGGAGCTGCTCTAGCTCGGAGTGCGACAGGTAGCTTGCGTTCTAGCCTGCGGGAGGGCGCTGACAGGATTAGTTTTTTCTAGCTGCGGAGCGCGACACAGGCATGCAATGCCCTCTCTAGCTCGGTTGAGCGCGAACAGGAGCTACTTCTGCTTTCGGAGCGCCGACAGGAGCTTGCTCTCTATGCGCGGGAGCGCGGACAGGAGCTGCCCTCTATTGCGATTGGGAGCGCGACAGTCCATGAGCTCGCTTTTCTAGCTCGGGAGCGCGAACAGGAGCTGCCTCTTTAGCTTCGGGATGCGTGACAGGCAAGCTACTCTCTAGCTCGGGAGCGCGACAGGAGCTGTCCTCTAGCGCGGGAGCGTGTTACAGGCGCGAGTACCTCTAGCTCGGGAGCGCGGACAGGAGCTGCCTCTATGCTCGCGGAGCGTCGTTCTCACAAGAGCTTTTCTAGGCTCGAAGGACGCGGCGACAGGAACTGCCCTCTAGCTGCGGGAGCAGCCGTATCACCAGGAGTTTCTTCTACGCTCGGGAGGCGCACACAGGAGCTGCCTCTAGCGCGGGAGCTACCTCTGTCGGGAGCGTGAGAGGAGCTGCTCTAGCCTCGGGAGCGCGGGGACAGGAGCTACTCTAGCTCGGGTAGCAGCGGACAGGGGCTTTTTGTCTAGCTCGAGCGGACAGGAGCTTCGTCTAGCTCGGGGACGCCGAGCGGAGCTGCCTTCTAGTCGGGAGCGCGCAGGAGCTAGCCTCTGAGCGCGGGAGCTACTCTAGCTCGGAGCGTGAGAGGAGCTGCTCTAGCCTCGGAGGCGGACGCGACGCTACTCTAGCTCGGGAGCGCGACAAGCGGTGCTTTCGTCTAGCTCGTGGCGGCCGCGACGGAGATCTTTTCTAGCTCGGGAAGCGCGCACATACGGAGAGCTGCATCTAGTCGGAACGCAGCGACAAGGAGCTGCCTTCTAGCCGTCGGTGAGCGCGACAGGAGCTGCCTCTAGCTCGGGAGACGCGACTGGAGCTTTCTCCTAGCGATGGGAGCGCGCGACAGAGCTTCCTCTAAGCTCGGGCGCGACAGGAGTTTTTCTAGCTCGGGAGGACGACAGGAGCTGCCTCTGCTCGGGAGCGCTGACAGGGTGCCTCTAGCTAGGGAGCGCGACAGGAGTTTCTTCTAGCCTTCGGGAGCGAGACAGGAGCTTCCTCTAGCTCGGGAGCGCGACAGGAGCTCCCTCTAGCTCGGGAGCGCGACAGGGCTTGCCTCTAGCTTCGGGAGCGCCGACAGAGAGCTGAGCTTGGGCACGACAGGGCTCCCTAGCATCGGGGCCGGGAGTCTCCTCTAGCTCGGGCAGCGCGACAGGAGCTGCCTCCTAGCTCGGGAGACCGGAGCGCTCGGGAGCGGGAGGGCTGCCCTCTAGCTCGGGAGCGCGACAGGATGCTTTCTCTCTAGCTCGGGTACGCGACAGGAGCTTGCTTCTAGCTCGGGAGCGCGGACAGGAGCTCTCTAGCTCGGGGAGCGCGACAGGAGCTTCCTCTAGCTCGCGGGAGCGCGACAAGGACTGCCCAGCTCGGGAGCGCGACAGAGTTTTGCTACTAGCTTGGGACCGCGACAGGAGCTTCTCTAGCTCGGGAAGCGCGACAGGAGTTTCCTTCTAGCTCGGGAGCGCGAACAGGAGCTTCCTTCTAGCTCGGGAGCGCGACAGGAGCTTGCCTCTAGCCGCGAGCGCGACAGGAGCTTCCTCTAGCTCGGGAGCTGCCTCTAGCTTCGGAGCGCGACAGGAGCTTCCTCTACTCGGGAGCGCGAACAGGAGCCTCTAGCTCGGGAGCGCGACGCTTCCTCTTAGCTCGGGAGCGCGACAGGAGCCCTAAGCTTGCGCGACCTGCCTCTACGCTCGGGAGCGCGACAGGAGCTACTCTACGAGCTCGGGAGCGCGACAGGAGGCTTATTCTAGCTCGGGAGCCGGACAGGAGCTTCTCTAGCTCGGATAGGGCTCAGGACAGGAGCTACCTCTAGCTCGGGAGCGCGACAGGAGTTTTCTTCTAGCTCGGGAGCGCGACAGGAGCTGCCTCTAGCTCGCGGAGGGCGACAGGAGTTTCCTCTAGACTTCGGGAGTGGCGACAGGAGGCGGCTACTAAGCCTCTGGAGGAAGCGCAGGAGCTCTCTTAGTGGGGTGCGAACAGGAGGTGCCTCTAGCTTCGGGACGCGAAGAAGCTGCCTTAGGGCGGAGTACTCTAGCGGGATAGCGTTGAGAGGAGCTGGCCTCTAGCTCGGGAGCGCGACAGGAGCTTACTCTAGCTCGGGAGGAGACAGGGGCTTGATGCTCTAGCTCGGGAGCGGGACAAGTAGTTTCTTCTTAGGCTCGGGAGCGCGACACGGAAGCTTGCCTCTAAGCTCAGGGAGCGCGACAGGAGCATCGCTCTCTAGCTGGGAGCGCGACAGGAGCCTGCCTCTTAGCGCGGG